CTGGAAAACAATGAAAATATTTCAAAAGTGTTTAATTAGTCGCAATGGAAAAATGTTCCACTTCGTTTTTATTTTTTTTTCCTTCATGCTCTGATTTACACAGGCTATAAAGCTATAGTTTACTAAATGTTTTTTAAACAATGCTGCCACCATGTTTCATTTCCACGGCCACAGCCATTTATGCGGGTGCATGGTAAACCAGATTGGTGTGATCCAGATTAAAAAGTAAAGAAAAATTTTTGCCCTTTTTTTTCAAGCCAGCAGTTTTCTTACACCCACTTTGCTGCCACACAGACAATTCTACCAGCATGAAAGAAAGGATTAGTGGAGACAGAAGAAAGTACACAGGTACTAGGGACAATTGATATTGCTTAAGTGCCCTCAAATAATATTCCCATCGGAAGCCTAAAGGTAGCTAATGATACATTTAAAGTAAAAATAAGACAAACAATAAAGTTTATTTTTTGATCAAAGCGCGTGGTTTAATGAGTTTCCATAACCAGGCTGAGCAAATCAGTCTAGATAGCTAAGCAGAAAAACAATTCAATATTGGACCTTATTTAAAATGAAAGGAGTAGTAGTTAATCTTAAGAAGTTAAAAATAAAAATGTGGAAATAGTGATTTATTAAAAATACCAATATTGTGTGCTGAGAGTGAATCTGAGTTCTATTAATAAAAAAAAGACAGAAAGATTATTGAATTTTATAGGTCCCAACTACGATCAATAATATGATGGATTTATATTAGAAAGACTAACTTTTTAGGAAGAAAGTAAGCTTTTAAAAATGTATTTAGATATTTTTAAAGTATTTGTTTTTGCAGTGACTACATGAAATACTTTTGAAATAACTGCAAGCAATTTACCAAGGAGTTGGTCTGCTACTGTAGACATTTGTAAAACGGAAGTCTGAATTTAATGAAAATTAAAACTGTCCCAACTTAGATGTTGAGGCCCATATTTACTGTGTTCTGTTCCTGTCGTAGGTAACAGGGTGATATAATATATCCAGTCGGACTTCATTTTTGGTACATTGCCCTCTAGAATTACCAAGGACCATTAAGCTTTGACTTTTCTGCTTGAGAAAAAGTTGTTTCAGTTAAACAATAGGAAAAAAAATAATTCTGACATGGTGAAATTTTTTTTGCTTCATAAATTTATAAATGAATGTTATAATTTTGATTTGAAAACTTACAGAAAATGAAATTTTTGTTCTAATCCTCTTTTAAATACTGCTTTTTGATATTTTTTTTAACTGACCATATATTTCATGAATATTTAGAATAATATGTAAATTAATTTAATTTTCTTTCCATTCCTGTTAAGGAAACAACAACAATAAAACAAACATCATCTGAAGTATAAATTGAATTAAAAATTTCTTCAGAAAAGGAGATTTTTTAGATAGTAATTTGAAATAATATTTTTTAGAATGTTCTAGAAGAAATTTGATGATGACCAAAAAAACACCTTTATTCACTCATCATTGTACATGAGCATGAAATTAAAAAAGAAGTCTGAACTGACTGTTACTAAAAGCAGCAGGTTGTAAGTTTGGTTTAGGTGTATAGTATCTTTCTTGACAGCACACTGAATCCTTCTGAGGCTCTATTTGGTCCTCATGCCACAAAGAAGCATCTGTCCCTACAGAGTATGGTTGTTTTGTTTTGTTTTTTTTTTTCTTAAAGTCTACTTACTTTATGTCTCTTCTCATAAGAAGTCCTGTACAGAATTGTCTTCTAAATAATTCTTTTTGACCTGTACTTCTGTCCTGGTTGCAGTTTTGGATTACTAATGGAAGACTTGATTCCTGCGTAGGTTTTTTTTCCTTTCAAAATTAGCAAAAGATAATCCTAAAGCTCTACCAAGTACTTCCTCACAAAGTACTTGGTAAAGAACAATATATTTTTGATTTTGATATTTTTCTAGAAAGGGTACTTTTTTTTTTTTTAAATATATTGTTTTGATTAAATTGTTTTGGTGAGCTCCTCTCCAAATAGTATAAATATACCAAACCATTAATATGTTGTAGTGATCCTAATTGGAAGATCGTTGCATATAAAGGAGCTACGTGATCCACATAGCAGTTAACTTGGGTAGGTGCAGACCTGTGGTCCACTGTGCGTATCCCTTGGCTACAGGATAAACGTGGCCAGACGATTGTAAAAGCAGACCCTGTAAGGCAGCTCCCGCTTGGTACCAGTGATTAAACCACCAGTGTGTCCTTGTCTTTAACTAAAGCTGCAGCACCAAGTTCTCACGTGAACATCCTTTTCATCTGATGGTAGAAATGATTAGCAGAATTGTTTTATTTTAACAAAATCCTGTAAGAGCCAACCTTCCCACAGACTGCATCTGTACAGTGTGCTACATCCTGACTGGAGGTCAGTTCCAATGCTGCCCATCTTGGGGTTCCCAGTGACTGAAGGGATGAAAGGTTATTTATAATAATCTCTTTTCCCCTACAACATTAGCTCCAATAACTCTCAGTGATACTTTATGAAGTCTGAGTGTCTGTCTTAGTGGGATCATAATGAACCAGCACCCCCTGGTGCAAAGCATATGCACATCAAAAGTTTACTTCTGGATATTCATGAACAGTCTTTGAAAATTCTGTAAGAATTTCACTCTTCTATGACATATAAAGTCACAGTTTGATAAAATTCTCATGCATGTTAGCTAGAAAGAAAGTACTTAAAAATTAGTCTTTCCTGGAATTAATTTTTGAGATTATTATTTGATATATTTACTTCGCATTAATCTAGGATTCCATCTGAGTGCACTTCTTATTTAATGATTTGCCCCATGATTATTTTATTTCTTCTATTTGGTTCTTGAATAGCTTATCTCTTAAGTTTAGTCTGAAGCATAATATTTACAGCACTGTAGAACAATTCTATAAGCTTACAACTAATCTATTTGGTATAAGTGAGGAGTTCCACAACCAAATTTATACCTGTAGCTGATAGTAGCTACTTACTTGTAAATTTGAATTAACTGTACTTCTTAGGAGACCAGTTGAAGTTACTGCAGCTGACGTTGATAAATTATGATCTGACATTAGCAGCATCATCTCTAGCTACTTTTTCCCTGTCACTAATTACAATTTTGCAATCACACTTAATATCAAACAAAAGCAGGTGGCTAAAGGTAATTGAGGAGATAGAGAGTCCAGGTAGAATAAGTGCTAGTAAAAGAAAATATTTTTGAATGTTTTTTGGATTTGTGGCCTGGCTTTTGGACAATAACTTGCTTGGTTATGCTGGCCTGGCTGACATCTGAGGGTACTTAGGCGTGAATAAGGTTACTTTAAGAAATTTAATAATTTTCAATATACAGCAGCCTTTTTTGTATTCCAAATGCATAGAGAATCTATCATTTTCTCCAACTTTCATTTAGTTTATAGTATTCTTTCTGTAAAGGTAGAGACCTTTAAAATATACACAATTTGTGCCCCCGCTTTCATGTGTCTGGTCTTGCAGAATGAAACTCTTAATAAGGACCAACTTGAAACAAAGGTCTGAAATGTGTAACCTAGTGAAACATTTTATACTTCTGTACTTTTAAATTATTTCTGTGTCGAGTACTGGTGTCTCCAAAGTCTTCTTTTGCCAATGAAGATAGTTAACTATTCTGAACATTGTTATACTACTATCATAACAGTTCAGTGTTACAAACATTTTATCTTTTAATGGTAGTATTTTTGAAAGAAAAGAACATTTTTTTACATTATAACTTTAAGGTGTTTATGTGTTTATAATATGTAGGAGATTTCTGATCATCTCAGATTCTGTAGCATATTGGTGGGTTTTTTTCAACTTAGGAAACTTCAAACTTGGTAAACAATACACTCTCTGGATGTATAGTGAAATAAAAGCTATATAATTTGTCCTTTATGAGAAAGCGTGATCCCAGTCTGTCTGAAAACCTTACCAGTGGCTGAAATCCAAAGTGTTCCCTAAATTTGGGAGCTTTGACCTGAGACAGTAACGAAGACAAAGAAAATTAAGCAATAGGTATTTTCGCAAAAGAAGTTGGAAGAAACTGCAAATAACACAACAGAGAAGGCATGACTTGGAACTTGAATATTTGTGACCAGATTGCTCTGCTTATAAAAGGATTGGCTTCTATGTGTTCATGCTTCACAAACTGCGTATTATCTGGAGAGCAAAGTTACCAGTAATTGGGTGGAGGCAGTGATTTAAGACTTTTAGTTATTGGTATGTTAGTAACTTTTTTTTGAGAATATCTTAGGTTGAGAGTTTTCAAATGGCTGTATTCTACCTATGGTTTGTTATGATGCTTAAGAACAAAAGTCTCTTGTTTAAATGCTGTGTTAAATATTTAAGATATGGGATGCTTCAAATAAGAAATACTAATAAATCAACTGTATTTACTTTCTTAATAATCAGTTTTATTTTAAATAAAAACATTAGAAATATAAAAAATAACCTAACCTTGTGAGGCATAGGCCTTTACAACACAATTGGAGTAATTGCAGTAGTGATTTGTGCTGCAGGAACTGAGCTGTTAGCTTTCATTTATATTGAATTTGTGCCAAATAATTTAATATGACCGTAAAGAAAATCAATGACCCTCTCCTTCTTATGTGCTTAAACATTGCAACTTTAAAGGATTCATGCATATTTTTGTGAGTTTCAGTAGCCCTATGAATGTTATGCCTATAAAAATAAAAATAATTTACATGTTTAGTTTCCCAATCTGTGAGGTTAAGTTTAGTTTACCTGCTTTCCCTTCTGTTGTGATGAATACTCTTACATGCTGTATCAGAGTGTGTGAATAATAGTTACAATATTCTAGGTGATATTTTCTATCTTCAGTAATGGCTCTGGAAGAGAAATTCTACATGTGAACGAATGTTTCCTTTTTCTGTTCTTTCCTTTACTCAGTCATTTCAAATAGTCATCATATCTTTCTAGAATAAAGTTAGGCATCTCAGGGGAGAAGAGGCTAATTGGTCTTTCTCTCTTTTTAAATCAGGTGAAGTACCACCAATGAGATGGATAGTAAATTTTGACCGAGATCTTCTAGATGGTCTGGTATTGGCAGCACAGCTGGCAGCTTATTGTCCATATTTGGTAACGATTTTTCTTAATATTTTCCAACTTCTATACAGTTTGTTAATGTAACTGGGTTTATTCAGGCCTTATTTTCCTTTGGAACTGTTGGCTTATGTGGGTTTTAGAAAGAAAAAAACCCCAACATTTAGCAAGTCTAGAGTGATTATTTCAGTATTGCGTTTTTTTTTTTTTTTCTCTGGGTATATTCTTAATAAGGAATTTCAGTTCAAAATTTAGATCTTATGGATTGCTGAAAGAGTGAAAATACAAACATAATAATTTTGCATTGTGGAAGATCAAGAGTTTGATTTCTGTCTTCTCTAGATTGCTACTCACTTTGTAAGGATGTATACTGATCCAAGAACTCCTGAACAGTTTCTGCACAACTGTTTGATACTTGTGAGTGCTATGCATGCTGTCAGTCTGGCTATAGACATAAAGGTAAATGATTTTATGCTAGCAGTTCTTATATACTTTTAAATTTATTTTTTTTTTTACTTTTATGATAGTAATATTGTACATCAAATTAAGGTGAGATTTTAAGGCAGCAGTTTTATTTCATGATGTGCTGCTGTATGATGGAAACCAAAATACTGCTTTGTATAAATATACTTAATTACAAGTAATTTCCGTAATTCTTTTCTTTGTAGAATCACATATATACAACTAGCTTGAACATAGAATTGGAACTGAATTAATCTTAGCATCGTAAATCACACAATGAAAACCTGAGTGGAATTTATTATTAACAGTCTAAGGCAACTTAGAAAAAATATATTTAAGAACAAACATCATTAAACATAAAAAGGAGCAGTAAAAAAAAAAAAGGAATGTCTGGTGACAACTTACATGTATCTACCTAATCAGAAGGGCCCACGGGGGTTCTGTCCCAGGTTTGCTGGACGCAGAATTCAGTCCTTTGGACTGCTGGTGAGAGTAACATTGTATGCCATCAGCTTCTGACATCCTTTTTTTGGGTTAATATGATGTTGTTGATGTTAATTTCTTCTTCAATATAGGGCCCACTTGGGATCATTTCTATATGTTTAGTAACATGCTTTACATCTCTGTTTTTTTTCATTGGCCTACAGCTCCAAATTTTCTATATATGGTGCCCTTTACATATGTTAGATATTTCTTTGTCCTTTTTGTTTCCCCTGAAACCAGTTTTCTCCTGCTCCCATTCTGCATTTCTTTAATTCACCGTTTGTGAGCTGTTTATGGCTGTGGGTTTGGGTAGTACCATACAAAGATAAAGGCCTGATCAATTAAAAAAAGTTGCTGTCACCGCTAAACCAAGTAAAGCAAAGCTTTACAAGCTGGTCAACAAGCCTTCAGACAGAGAAGGCTGGTGAAACCCCTGTGGTAAGGCCCTGTAAATTCAGCACCAAGTTTATGGACTGTTAATAACAATGGCAAGGCTGTATTACAAGGTTACGTGCTCACAGGGATTCATGCTCCTATGTTCCACGTGCTGGTTGTGTGACATTCTTCTTAATGCACTTAGTGTGTTTTAAGACCACAATGTCTCCGATACTACTATGTTATTAGTTCTTCATATTTTTGAGGTATTAGCATTTCTATAGATGGGAAAGTCCATCTCCATACAGACTAGGAATTTAAACAAAGCTATGTAATCAATCAACATCAGAAAAAGGAACAGATCTTAGATCTTCGAGATCTGTATTTTAATACTAGCTAAGGCATGTTCTACAAAAAAAAATATTGTGGGAAGTAAAAAAAAAAAGTAAAGGGTACTTTTTACATAGATTTATTGGAATTCATATCTGCTTTTCTAAGACTACTGTAGAAATTTCTTAAGCTTGTTCTTCAGCAATAAAAGCAGGAAAATGCATGGATCCTGATGCTGAACTGTCATAATCTGGGACTTTTCTGATAGTCTTGTCTCTTAAATTCAGCAGGCTGAAATGTTCCAACAGTATTGGCAAAGTTCTTGACTATCAGGCAATCTCTGCTTCTGAATTTTCAGGACAGCTTTGCATTAATTAATGCAAGGACAGTGGTGACAGCACAAGCTGACACACATATTTGGTCTGGAATAGATGGCAATTTCAATCACTTTAAAAAATCTAAGATTCTGTAATAATAAAGAAATTTAATTGTCTGGAAGACTTTAGCTGTAAGTTTAAATGATACCTCTAATGGAGTTCAAGGCTTTTAAATCCTTTTAAGGATTAAGGTACAGGCTTAAGATGGAGTACTTTGGGCAAGAAATTCTTTGTTTCCACTTTCAAATCATGATTGACAGTTCAGCCCTGGAGTATTAATGGTGTCTTTTCTGTGTATTTTTTCGTTGTGTTTGATATTTTAAGTTCTAAAATGCTTTGATTTGAAGAAGATCCAATAGAAAGCCCAAAATAAAATATTGAAAGATAGGATGGGGGATAACAGCGATGTGGAGGGAATGTACGTGACAAGGATAGATTAGGAGAGAAGATGCAGTGATTGGAGATAGCCAGTAAAGGAACTCAATTTGCTACTGACTGATTTAAAATTGGGGCCAGCAATACTGACATTTATATTTGGGAACAAGTAAAAGGGAGGATATTTTCAAACAAGCTATAGAAGATGATGTGAGTAAAGTCGGAGAGTGTTAAGAAGCTGAAAATGAATGCAGCTGTTCTGTTGAAATGAAGGGAGGAATTCAGCATTGTTGTGGAGCAGAAAGCTGATGTAGTTGATACTCCAGAGGGAAGGGATGCCATCCAGAGGGACCTTGACAGGGAGAGAGGTGGGCTCCTGCGAACGTCATGAATTTCGACAAGGCCCAGTGCAAGGTCCTGCATGTGGGTTGGGGCAATCACAAGCACAGAGGGTGGGCAATGAGTGGATTGAGAGGAGCCCTGAGAAGAAGGACTTGGGGGCCCTCCTTTAATCTGATGGATGAAAAACTGAATATGAATTGGCAATGTGCACTCTCAGCCCAGAAGGCAAATAGCATCCTGGGCAGCGTCAAAGAAGCAGGGCCAGCAGGTCAAGGGAGGTGATTCTTCCCCTCTACTTCACTCTCGTGGGACCCCACCTGGAGTACTGTGTCCAGCTCTAGGGCCTCCAGCATTAAGAAGGATGTGAGTCCAGAGGAGGGCCATTAAGATAATCACGGGGCTAGAGCACCTCCTCTATGAGGACAGGCTATGAAGAGTTGGGGTTGTTCGGGCTGGAGAAGATAAGGCTCCAGGGAGACCTTACAGTAGCCTTCCAGTACCTAAAAGGGGGCCTACAGGAAAGATGGGGAGGGACTCTTCGTCAGGGAATGTAGTGGTAGGACCGAGGTGTAATGGTTTTAAACTGGAAAAGGGTAGATTTAGATTAGATATTAGGAATAAATTATTTACTGTGAGGGTGGTGAGACACTGGGACTGGTTGCCCAGAGAAGTTGTGGATCCCCCCGTCCCTGGAAACGTTCAGGGCCAGGTTGGATGGGGCTTTGAGCAACCTGGTCTAGTGGAAGGTGTCCCTGCCTATGGCAGGGGGGTTGGAACTAGATGGTCTTTAAGGTCCCTTCCAACTCTAACCATTCTACGATTCTATTTTATGATTCTATGATTCACTGGTGATCTATGAAAAAATATGCAATTGCAACAGACAAGTGATGTGTTCAGGCCTGTCAGTTTTTAAGTTCGCCTAGATGGTACACTTGGGCACCCCATGAACAAGTTGTGGAAATGAAAGAAAAGGACACGTATGTTTCAAAATCCGTGGTGCTTTTTATTTTTGTCAGAGCAACTGAAAATTACTCAGATCTGAAAATGGTCTCACCTGGGATATTTCTAAAGAGAAAATGGATATGTCTGGCATAGATATAGTCTTTTAAAAAGGATAGTAATGTGTATACATTACAAACATCCAAAAATACAGACTTTTAAGCTTTATTTAGACATGAAAATGACTACTTGGTCTTTTTTCCAGACTGGCTGACTATTCTATTCTCACATTGACTTCCAGCTTATTGAAAACTTGGCTGCTGCAGTTGTAAAAGCCAAGCTTATATAAACTTAGGAACCTCCGTTTGTTCACAAAACCCATTGTTTCCTATATGTTTATCTTTTAAGTTAAACCTTTAAGTCTTACAAATCTGGAAATAACTAATAAAGATTACATGTATGGCTTTCTGTTTCTGAAATGTAATATAGTATTTTTATTACCTCCTGTTTGTTTAATACTTTTGCCATAATTTTCAATAGTTATTTGCAATTGTTGCTTTAAATTGGTTGCCTAGGTAACATTTCATGGTCACTGATTCCAAGCATTTTCTATTTTTCAGTTATTTGTGTCCTGCTAGAAGCTGTTCTTGACTGTAGGATGTCTATTTGCATCATTGCTTTGTACGCCTTGTACTAGGGAAAGCCTTCTTGCATGATTTTTGCATCTGTTGAACAGTTTGCTTCATTACATTATTCAAGTAGTAATTACAGGTTCAGAAAAATTGAGAGTTTTATTGCCACAAGAAGTGGTTCAGCAATCTACTCCTTCCTGACGTCAAGTTTTTCTCTCCTCTTTCTTGTCTGTCAGAACTTTGGCTTATAATTACTGTGATTATTTGGGATTTAGAACACCCTGATCTGTTTTTTTTTCTTTTTCTTTTCCAGCTAGATAGATGAATATTTGTTTGTAACATATTCTATTCTTAGTCCACTACACTTCCATGCTAATAAAACAGAACTGCCAGCATACTCTAAATATCACAGAATGATATGAGGCAGTTAATGAAATTTAATTTTTGCTTTAACTTATAAACCTATTTTCATAAAATCAAGAGGCGTTATTTTTAAGCAGTTGCAAACTGTTTTCTGAGCAGTAGTACCAGCAATACTAAAGACCAGGCTTTAGTGATATACAGGTGACTGAAAACATGGAGTTGGTTATGGAATTAACAGCACAGAGCTGATGGTGTTATAATAGTCAAATAACTTTTTTTTTTTTTCAGTAGAACCAATCTACTAGCTTTTGTATTTGTTGTCCAGTTTTGATATAGTCTTAACTTGGAATATTTAGAATTTGAAGTAAAATAATTTATTCAGTCAGCTTCAGCATTTTCTTTAACTAGACAACATTAGAGCACAAATAAAAATCTAACAAGCAAGCACCCAACTCTTCAAGAAATTTTAGATGCTTTTTCACATTTTGAGAAACTTTGTTATATATAATATATATATAGACTGTGATTTTTCTGTTGAACGTTGTTATGAAGTGCACTGATTTTTATTTTATTTTTTAAATTAGTTCCCAGATTAATGTCACAGATTCAGTTTTACGAATGCAGCACAGGATAAAAGAGAATAATGTTTTCTGAGGGAATAAGTTCTGATCTAACTGGAAATGAGAAGTAGGCGGCAAAAGAAAGTTAGGCTTCAACAGATAATCTACTCTGGCATCTTTGCTATCTTGAATGAAAGTGCAGGAAAGCAGAAGTGTAAAACCACAGCTATGTTGGAAAAACTTCTACGAATACTTGCTAACATTCAATAGCCGTTACTGAGATAAGTGAATGGAAAACATCAGAATACTTTTCAGACTTCAGGTTTAAAGCTTTTGTGAGGGAAGAAGCTTTTTTACTTTACATATCAAGTGCATCCTAAAATTCCAAACTTAAAAAAGAACATCGATGGAAATAAATAGAAATAGAAGATGAGGCATATGATTACATCAGCACATGAACAGTATATGAAATGAATCTTAAGAATTACGAAGATAAGCATTATCTAGGAAACTATGGAGAGTGACAGGGAAACTTCAGATCAGTGCCCAGTGAAGTACTACTTCTAATGGAAGGTGAAAGAAGGAGCTGTGCTTAGAACTGCTGGGAGTAAGGTGCAATGCTTGGCTGGCCACAGGGCAAGAAAAGAGGGAGGAAGCAGTCAGTAACTTCCTGCCTTCGTGCTCCATAGAGTCAATGGATTTGCCACCAGGGAACCTCCAGTTCTGCCTTTTCTATGGAGTGTCCTACCTGTCTCTTAACTTAATAAAACAGAGGGAAATTCAGAAAACTTGGAGGTTACCTAGTGAGATGCTAGATGAATTTAATGTGTATATTGGTAAAAATGTGGTAAGGCTCGTCTGTTCTAATATACCTTCACAGGTTTCTCTTTCCTGTTGTACTAAACAAAACAAAAATTCATATTCCTTATAGTACAAAGCACAGAGAACTTATTCATAGAGAACTACAGGCATTTAATCTGCAGGACTTCAGGCATTTAATTTAATGAGGGCTGAGCTGTAGTCAGTAATAAGTCTGTGAGGCTTTCAGTCATCTTTCCTTAAATAATATTTATCCTTTGGGAAAGGGTTGTATCCCTTCTCTGCTTTTAGTCCATGAGCCAAGCCTTGCCATCTTTTCCAGTACTCAGATTCTCTTTTTTCTGTCACCGCCCTGCCATATAACGCTTTAGGGTATGGAAAAGGAGAGGATCCTCTTCCTCAAGCAGACATTAGGAGTCTATTCCAGCATACAGCTCCTTCTGGTTTCCTTGCAACCAGGGAGATGAAGCCTTTTTAAAAATATGATTTTCTGAAATGTCTATCATAGAGTCACCAAGTGATATAGGTTGAATGCTCTTCAGACTTAACTACTGTCAAGGCCCTGAGGGCGCCCCCAGCCCTGCCTGCCCCTGCCCAGCCCCCCACATCTCCCCCACCTGCCCGCAGCCCAGGACCCCACATCAGCCCTCCGGGACCCTCAGCCCCTGCCCCAGCAATGCTGCAGCAGGGCTGGTCTCCAGCTCCCCAATGCTCCCCACAAGACACAGAGCATCTCATTAGAGCATAGCGCTGCATAGACTGAAGGAACCAGAGGAAATACTGTCGGGTTCATCTGTGAGAATTCTTTAATTTCTCCTTTCAGTAAAACATAGTAGGAAGCTTCTGACAAGATTGTAGACTGGATGGGAAAGAAAGATTACTCCCGCATTGGAAATGCTGTGTTGGTTTGACTCCTTGCATTTCTGAATTTAGAATCCAGTTTATTCTGGATTTTTCTGGTTTGAAATTTGGAATTGTTCTGACCCATTTGTGACAGCAGAAGAGCATCTTATTTTCCCTGTTCTATATGTCAAATGTATGTTCATTCTTAGTAGTAAAATATATGGGCACCCTTTTTTGATGACTTATTAGGAAATGAATCAAAAACAGTAAGCTCTTCTTATTTACTTCTTGGTGTTCTTCTCTCAAATCTTTGGAAAAATAAAATTGTACCTTGTGTAAGGCTAGAATGCCATAGACTGGTGGAAGTGAACATTACTTCAAATGCTTGGTGTTACTGCATTTATTTAGATTGTGTTCATGAAGAAAATTATCTTATAGCTCTGTCTTTTTTTCCAGCTTCTTGCTTGGTTATACTGAACATAACTTTGAAAGGAGAGTGTTTTCTTAGGTTGCTTTTACAGTTTTTACACAGACTCAAAGGGAGACTGTGCATAGGCTTGGAAGGAAAAAAAATAAAGGAGATTTTGAAGTAGACAGAAATCATGTGTGTTTCAGAAAGTCTCTTGTGCAGAAAATAGATTAAGGCTGGGAAAACACTCAAGTGTATGTGTACTTACCATATAACTATTTTCATTTAGGTGTCAGCTTGTAGTGGTGTCCTTTTGGCCTATGGTTTGAGCAAATAGGCTGTTCTTAGATTCTTATTTTGTATAAGGGTTTTTTTATGTCGAATATTTGCTTTTAGCTACTGAGTTTTTTTACGTCATGCAGAAAGAAGGTGGCTCCACTGGAGTTTAAAATGTTTGCCCTTTATACGCTTTCTCGTCACAAAATTATTATGTCAAAATGCAGCTTTCGCTAGCTGAAGAAAATCTTTGGCAGTTGCTGATCTGTCAGTCATCAAGTAGAAGTTGTTTGGGGATGGAATTAATTGTACTTGTGCTCAGAGTGATGCATTATTTTGCTTTCTTAGATCTCCTGCCTTAGGGCTAAAATCTCTGCTGCTTTTTTATGATCCTATGTTTTAGGCAATAGATTTCAGCCAAAATTGCATTTTAATAACATCAAAAGAGGAAGAAAACTCAATAAGCAATTTCTAATTAAAAAGAATTCATAAACTGTTAATGACAGTCAGGCTTATTTCTGTATGTAAAGAATGGAATAGAGAAGAATTTAAAATAATGACAGAGAGGTGTCTAACTAATCAATAAATCCTTAAGCCACTGATTTTCAGAAGCAGGCAAATTATGTCAATGGAAAGACCACTTTATATTTGCCCAGTTTCTTACCCTCTTTACTTAAGCAACTGCTCTGTTGGCAGAGGCAGAATAGTGGGAGACGCAGCCTCTGATACTCCAAGGATATCCATAAGCATTTAAATCTTGCGGATCCCTTTTCAATGTCATTACAGCTGCTTTTCTATTCTGACAAAGGGTGTTCATGAAACTGCTTTTTGCCGTACCTACAGGAGGAACTAACCAGAGGAACAAGGGCTTTCCTGCAAAATTTGAAGGTAGACTCACTGTTGTGTGCTGCTTGGAATATATATTTACGTTTTTACAGTGTTGTATTGCATCTTGAGCTTTTTAGTAATTAGGAAGTTTATTGACTGCTTTGTAGAAGTGCTGGAATATACGCTCCAGTGTAAAACTTCAGGTAACTTGGAAATAAAAGTTAACTCAGATAATTGGTAGTAGATATGTCTGTACATCTCTGTTGCTGCACTAAAGACAGTCTAGAAGAGGCAAAAAAAGCTTTCTCTAATGCTCCATTTAGGCAATAAACATCTTATAATCATGTTAAGGACAAGCATATAGTTGGTCATAAAAATAAAATAAAGGGGGGCTGAAAGTGCGGTCCTGTGAAAAACAGGTATGATGTAGTTTATAGAATACATATTAATATATAGGAATATTTGTTATTCTCAGATATCCCTGGAAACTTTAATAGTATTGACAATAATTTTTAAAATAAGACTTTACTGACAAAGTATCAAAAGAAAATTAAGTTGATTCAACTCTATAGTCATAGTTGGCTATTAAGATGTTTTTGTCCTAAAAAGGTACATTGGGAATAAAATTTACCCATGAACAAGTTGTGTTATCTGGAGTGATAATTTTTTAATAAAAAGAGCAAGGTTTTAAAAAACTTCCACAAAAGTGATAATCCCAAGAACGTGGGCTGCTTATTGTATGTTTTAATTAATATCACGTTTTATTAGATGGACTGTATTTATTCATTTTTTATTAATCTGACCTCCTCAAAAGTGTGACATTACCATTTTTATTGCTTTCTTAACTTACCCACAAAAGATAACCAAGCCTCTCTACTCCATACTACCATGGCTGGAGTTACCTGGCCAATTTCAGTTACAGTTGCTGTACCCTCATGAGGGATCTCGCAGTATCACCATACACTCTTCTACAGCCAGTCTTTGCTTCATATCTAATACGTTGCAGTTTGCTGATTTTCAGGTTGTTACAAGACCTTCCTTATAAAGCTCTGCTTGAGGGAAGTACGTATGTGCAGAGAAGCACTTTTAGTTTGAAGGAAGTTGTACACTGTATTTACCAACAGATTGCTCGTCTTGAATCAGCAAATATATTCATACTTGCGATGCGAGAGATATATTTTTGTAGGTATGGAAGTTATACTTACGCAGAAGTCATTGATGTGACTA